TAAAACTGCCCCCAATAGTCAATTAATCTATGACAAAGGAGGCAAGAATATACAATGGGCTAAAGGGAGTCTATTCAATAAATGGTGTTGGGAAAACTGGACAGACACATGCAAAGAAATGAAACTGGACCACCTTCTTACACCATATACAACAAGAAACTCAAAATGGATTAAAGACTTAAAGGTAAGACCCGAAACCATAAAACTCCTAGAAGAAAACACAGGCAATAAACTCTCTGACATTGCTCTTAGTGATATTTTTACTGATATATCTCCTCAGGCAAGGGAAACAAAAGAAAAAATAAACAAATGGGACTATATCAAACTAAAAAGTTCTTGCACAGCACAGGAAACCATAAAAAAGAAAAAGACAACCGACTGGATGGAAGAAGATATTCACAAATGATGCATCTGATAAGGAGTTAATATCCAAAATTTATGAAGAACACATGCAACGGAACACCAAAAAAACTAACAATCCAACTGAAAAATGGGCAGAGGACATGAAGAGACATTTTTCCAAAGAGGACACACAGATGGCCAACAGGCATATGAAAAGATGCTCAATGTCACTAATCATCAGAGAAATGCAAATTAAAACCACAATGAGATATCACCTCACTCCTGTCAGAATGGCTATCATCAATAAATCAACAAACAACATGTGTTGGTGAGGATGTGGGGAAAAGGGAACCCTGGTGCACTGCTGGTGGGACTGCAGATTGGTGCAGCCATTATGGAAATCAGTACGGAGCTTCCTAAAAAAATTAAAAATAGAACTACAATACCTTATGACCTAGCAATGCCACTTCTGGGTTTTTATCCAAAAAAATCCAAAACACTAATTCAAAAAATATATATGCACCCCTATGTTCATTGCAGTGTTATTTACAATAGCCAAGATATGGACACAACCTAAGTGCCCATCAATAAACAAATAGATAAAGAAGATATGGTACATTTATACAAGGGAGTATTATTCAGCCATAAAAAAGAATGAAGTCTTAGCATTTGGGACAACATGGATGGACCTAAAAGGTATTATGCTAAGTGAAATAAGTCAGACCGAGAAAGACAAATACCATATGATCTCACTTATATGTGGAATATAGAGAACAAAATAAACAAACAAAACAGAAACAGACTCAGATACAGAGAACAAACTGATGGTGGCCAGATTGGAAGGGTGTTGGGGGACTGGTGAGAAAGCTGAAGGGATAAAGAACTACAAATTGGTAGTTATAAAAATAATCACAGGGATATAAAGTACAGCATAGAGAATACAGTCAATAATATTATAATAACTATGTATGGTGTCAGGTAGGTACTAATCACTCTGTATTAATAAATTATATAAATGTCTAACCACAGGGCTGTACACCTGAAACTAATATAAAATATTATTGAATGTTAACTGTAATTGAAAAAAAAAAACTGTCCCCTAATAGGACACCAACCGTGAGGTAGCTCCCCATCACTCCAGCAAAAGGATCAAAACCTTGGGCTCTGGAGTCAGACTAATCTGGATAAAATCACAATGCCACCACTTCCTAACTGTAAACAGGTCACTTGGCCCCTTTAAGCCTCAGTTTCCTCATCCAAAAATGGGGACAAATGATGTCTGTATGAGATCATGCACTAGGTGGACAGGGAAGAGCCAGGTGGGCAGTCCCCGTCTGAGCACCCCCGGAGGGAAGGCTGGGGCCAGCCAGAAGACCCGAACCTCCCTTCCGCATCCTCCTCCAGGCACCTCGTGACCCCCTTCCCGTACCTCATCTCTCTCCACTGAGAAGCAACTGGGCATTGCTGATCCCATCAAGACAAACTCACTGGCCAGCTGCCCCAGCGCGGTGAGAAACCCCATGGGGCAGAGCTAGGAGGAGGGACAGAGGGCAGAGACTGCAGGAACAAAGCTCCTGGGGTTTTGGGGGGGTATTGGGACACCAGAGAAGGGGGCCAGTGGAATCTCAGACCAGGGGGTGAGTCCTCTCCGACACCCACAGAGTGACCTTGCTCAAGTCCTTCCTGTCTCTGAGCCTCAGTTTCCTCATCTGTATCATGGGAATAATCTCGGGACCAGCCTCTCAGGGCTGTTGTGGGGTTTATATGAGGTGATCCTGTGAAAGCCCCCAGCAGCAGGTCTGTCATACAGCGGGGCCCTAGACACACACACACACACACACACACACACACACACATGCACATGCACACACACACCCCCTCTGGCTGCTGTGCCTTCCCTGGGCGTTGCTAACGCCTCCAGGGAGCCCTGGAGCCACCTCCCTCCAGCCCCTCTCCCCACACACCTGTTGTAGTGATGCACACCACTCTTCCCTCCTGTCAATGTTCCCTGCCAGCTAATGGGCCAATTTTTTAGCATTATAGAGATTTGGCCAATTTGGCTGCCCTGACAGAAAGGCACAGTGAACAGTTGACTGGGGGTGGGGAGAGGTTCATAAGCAGGGGTGGGAGAGGAGGAGGAGGAGAAGGAGAAGGGGGCAGTGGGCAGCACCACATCTCAGGGAGCTCCCAGCTGCCCCTCCAAGTCCTGGGCAAGGGGTGTGGAGCAGCGGGGAGATTACAGAGATAATTAGCCCCACTTATGCCCCACCCCCCGCCATGCACAGGCCCTGTGCTAAGCACTTTGCATATATTTTCTCCTTTAATCCTCCAATAACCCTATGAGGCCAGTTCTATTATTTGCTCCATCCTTTCTGGTGTGGAACTCAAGCACGGGAGGCTGGGAGCTGGCCCAAGGTCACCGAGTCAGGACGTGATGGAGCTGGAATGTGAGCTGAGGCTGGAAGTCAGGCCTTTTAACCATGACTGAGCTCAGTTTTTAACTAAAGGCTGAGAATTAGGCCAATACCATCCCCTCCCATCCACCTACCCACCCCCATCTATCCACCCAGTCCCCCCAACACACACACAATCTCCAAGAGCCTCAGCCAATCCAGCCACTGGGGATCCCTGTCAGGCACACATGTCCTTCCCCTTCTGGCCGAGGGTCCCTCAGTTTGAAGACCCCCAGATCCAGCATCTTTGCAGGTAGAACCCTGAGCAGCACAACTGCCAGGCATGGGCAGGGTCCCATTCCAGAGGTGAGCTCTCCCCTCCTGCCCAGGCTGTAGGCTGGGGTCCCCATGCCAGCTGTGGCTTCTGGAGCCCCTCCTGGCATCAGTGCCAGGTTGGAAGTGGGTATCAGCTGTGCCCTCCACCACTCTGGGCTCTTCTGGGAGCAAGGAGGCAGACCAGCCAGAGAGGACTGAGAGGGGAGAGGCGGGTGAGGGACGGGAACTGCCTCTGGGCTGGGGGAGGGGGCTGCGGAACTCCGTGCATTAAGCGATCAGAGAGCACAATATTTCATTGCCGGCAATCGCAGCCAAGACATCAACTACTTGGGGAGAGCAGCCTTAAAAGCCTTTTGATTTTATTTCTTCCACTTCAATTTTTTTTTTCCCTTTCCTTGCTGGTGTCCTTGACAAGGCCTCCCTTCCCCCTCTGCTGCCCCTTCCTCAGCTGCCTCAGGAGGCCCAGGAGCCTAAGGAGGGGCTGAAGCCAGGGGCTGGGGGGGGCGTGGGAGGGGGAGCTGCATGTGTGTGCACTTGTGCATGTATGTGTGGCTGCGAGGCACTGCTGTGGTTTCCCGTGTCCCTGTGTGTGCACCTGGGCACCACTGTGTGTGTCTGGAAGTATGCATCCAGTGAGCATACATCTGGGTGTCCAGGTAGGCAGGCCACCGTGTGCAAGGGTGTGTGCAAGTCTGGGTGTTGATGCACACGCATGGACCTCCTGTGCGCGCACCCACCAGAAAGCTCCACCAAGGTAAGAGGCCTGGGGACAGGGCCACGGTCACAGGAGGGTGGCAAATTCAGAGGGCAAAGAGGACAGAGGAGGGCAGGCAGGAGAGGAGTGGGAGGTCGCGCTCAGGAGTAAGCCTAGTTGGGCCAAACCCTTGAGACCTCCGAAGCCCAGGACGTCCCCAAGAGCGGCGGCGCACGGAGACACAGGCGTGCACACGCACACTTGGCCAACACACACTCTCACACACACACACACACACACACACACACACACACACACACACACACACAC